CAGGGTCAAATGGTGTCCTCTTTAGCCTTCTTGAAAAATACTGGATTTTTTTTTAATATGCCCAGTTTTCAAATGAAAACCAAATGCTGAGAATTTCCAGGTTGTTTCCCCAGTCTTTGATGTGCACTGGTGAATTTTAGTTAACCCACTCAGATGCCAGAGACTGTCACGTATGAATGGTACAAAATAAACAATTAACACAAACAGTTTTTCAGTTTCTGGGGTGACTGGGACTATCAGGGACCCACAACCATGCTAACATCTCAGGCACCCTGGCAGCTTGTGGCAGATTCCTCCAGACTCTGACCTCTGCCTCCAGCTCTCCTTCTCCCCTTCTCTGGCTTTTGGCTTCCTTGATCTGTCCTGTCTCCACTGATTCCTTCCTGCACCCCATCCTGAAAGACAGATGTTAGGTCTGCGTCACCCACAGTATCAGTCTCCCGGGGCAGGCAGGGGTCTTTCTGCGTTCCTCCCTGCGCTGTCTGCGCTGTCTGCGGTACTTAGGACACTTCCAAGCGTGCAGAGGGGCCGCGTTTGCGAATGACTGAGTGCATGGATGGAGGGAGGAGTTCCGAACCTGGCTTCCCAGGTAGATCGGCACATTTCTTCCGTCCATCAGACCCTCCAGACCTCACAGAGGTCTATCAACAACAAGCAGTTGTTTTTCTAGGATTTCGCCCCTTCCTCCAACAATAAATAGTCACAGAAAGGAAATACAACTAGCCCTTGCAGAGATTTATTTGTAGGTACAATTCTTAGTCGCTGCTAGTCTAGACCGGTGCGCCAAGAATTCCTGTGTTGTTTTTTTCAGTATCAAGTGAGAGCCAGTGGACTTCAGTCAACCCACTTAGAAGTCTGGGGACTGAGAAAATGTCTCACAAAGTTTGCCAGAGAGAAATTTCAAATGTGTTTCGTTTACCCTGGCTCCACACCTGTTCTCTGGGAACACAGCTCAGCAGGAATTCCTCCATTCCCTGGCACAGGCTCTGTCTGCCATGAAGGAGTGTTGAGTGTGTAGACCAGGTGAGTCTGCTCCCCGCCCGCCTTCTGTCCTGAGGTTGGTACCTCCTCAGACAACTAAGGACCAAGTAGGCAGAGGCAGTGCAGCCCCCAAGCATTTTCTGAACTCAGCTTACGGCACATACAAGCCCTGCTACACAAAGAAAAGGACCCTGTGGCGGTATTTGGTTTAGAGCCTGCCCTGATCTCTGCCACACAGGGCCATACTCTCACATCTAAGCCTCAGAAGAGAACCTTCTGGACAACACTCTGCTTTTTAGCTCATTTCACCAACCGAGAAACCACAGCAGAGAGAAGTGATTTGCTCTGCTTCACAAAATTAGCAAGAGGAGGAGACAGACCTGAGCCTAAGTGGGCTTGGCAGGAGGGTGTCTAAGAGTCCATGAGAACCCCAGGGAAGGAAGAGGGAGCTGAATGGTTGCGCGTGGGGTTCATACTCTCGGGAGCGTCTTTGCTGTGACCCCCTTCACAGAACCACACCTCTCACTTGTAGAAACCCTGCAGGTTGAGAAGATCTGTGGAAGGAGTTTTTGCATCTGTGCTTATTCGGAAGGAGGAGCAATGTCTAGAGCAGAAGTGAGTGCTGGGGAGTGGTCTTAGGAACTAAATAAAATGGTTTTTTAAATCCTGCGCAGCTAAAATGCAAGGGGGATTTTGGTCCATGGTTTATTGAGTCAGGCACTTCCCAAACTTTGCTCCAATGAAAGAGAAATGAATATTCATCACCCGCTGCTTGTTTGCTGCTTGCTTGGCATGGTTTTCTGTTCCACAAGTCCAAAGAAAAAGGCCTTTTCTTCGATGCCCAAATAAACGGAGGCTCGCAGGAGAGAACTGGGCAGTCCACAAGAAGAACCAGTACCAGGATGTGGACTAAGTTCCAAGCCCAGAGCGTAGCTGTCTCCTCAGGACCTCAGAGTTGCTTTCTAAATCCAGGTACTCTCCTCTCCCTGGCCATCCCAAAGAGAGCTGAAAGTGGGCTATGGCTTGTGCCCTCAGCAAAGAGAGGCCAGCAGTCATTGGGCAGACTGCCCAGCACAATGCAACCATAAATATATGTTTGAGAGAGAGATGCCATGCCCCGCTCCCGGGATGAAGCTCCGACCCAGGATGGACTAGACTAGAATCTCCCCGGTAAGCGCACCTTGGGGTGCCATACACAGATGATTAGAAATGGGTTAAATTAATATGTGAGAATTAGCCTAGAAGAGAATGGGCCAAGCAGTGATTAAAAGAATACAGTTTGTGTGTTGTTATTTCGGAGCATAAGCTAGCCATGTGGGCGGCCGGGTGTGGGGAACGCAGCCCTGCCGCCCCATACTACTACAGGTTGGCGCCCAGACGTGTGGACAGCCGAAACCCACGTAAAAAACCTGAGAAGGCTTAAAAATAAGGGAGAGAGAGTTTAACACAGATTTTTGCTGTTTGTTGGTGGCGTGCTGTAGAGAGATTTCCTGATTCGGCAACAGTAGCAGAAAAAACGCTGTGTCATTTTAAAGCGCGACTTCCTGGGGCTGTGCCACCATTGCGATCTCTGTCTGACTCCTGCAGGAGACAGAGCTTTTGAATAGACCATTTGGAGTAAAGTGCTACGATTTGTTTGATGGCAACTAGACTAGCTGTGTTCTCGGGTCTGCTCTGCTTGCTAGAGGCAAGCATGCGCTTTCTTCTAAGAGAGGCTTCCTGACTCAGCTTTAGCTGCAAAGCCTGCAGCTCATTAAGAGGTCCTGCCACGAAACACTTAAACGGTGTTGACGAAAAGCTGAGCGCATGCTTTTCGGTTTTCAGCCGTAGCAGGTAAAAAGCTGCGCCGTTTAAAAATGCCGGCTTTCTGGGCTGTCCTGCCAGGGCAAACTCTGACTGTTTGAGGCAGGAGGGCCGGCTACTGAGAGAGGACTTGAGTGTTGTCTGTTGTAGCTCACTTGCTGGCAGGGACCTTGAAATGCCATCCAGTAAACATGGCTACAGCCAGTACCTCAGCCATGAGGCTGGAAAGCTAAGGAATGGACTGGATCTAGCTGGCAAAGCCACGCCTTTAGTCCTACTGAGATCGCTTGGTAAATTAAAGACTCATGTGGTCAGAAAAAGAGAGATATACAGTAAAGAGAGATTCAAAGACAGAGAAAATTTCTGAATGGTTTAAAGTGTGTTAAAAATATATGCAGACTAAAAGTTGAAGTTCTTAAAGTAAAAAACATAAAAAAAAAAGGAAGAGAGTTGTTGTGTGTGGTAGCACACGCCTTTAATCCCAGTGCCTAGAAGGCAGAGACAAACAGATCTCTGTGAGTTCAAGGTGTAGTAGTGTACACCTTTAATCCCGAATGCCTGGGAGGCAGAGACAGGCGGATCTCTGAGAGTTCAAAGACAGCCTGGTCTACAGAGTTACTTCAGGTCAAAGATACAGAGAACCTGTCTCAAAAAGCAAAGAGTTAAAAGTAAAAATAAACAAAATAGAGGTTAAAACAAAGCTGCACAAAGATGGAAAATATACAGAGAATTTTGATACTGTATGCTATTATGCTCTCTTTGAATCGTTTGAATGCTGAGGAAGGACCAACAGCTGCTAAAAGATATTTGTTTATAAATGCTGCTGAACTAATCCAACATAGATACTTCGAAAATGCCTTAACTTTGAAATTTGGATCTAAGGACATGATGCTTTGGAAAGGAGTTTCTTATTTTGTTTTCACAGAGGATGAGATGCTGTTCATTTCTTCTATTCTGATTTGGTATGATCGACCACGCCCTCCTGAAGGGTTGCAGTGAACATCTTCAGAAAATTGCTTCGCTCAACTGCCAACTGAGATGAAACTAGCACACAGGTTATACCATGAAAGACCTAATTAACGACGCCCCCATTCAGCAGGAAGCAGTTTGGAGAGAAATAACTGCGCCCATATTCCCAAAAAATGTTTATAAATGTTCTTTTACATTTAAAGGGGGATATGATATAGATATGAATAATTTTCATTAGTATAGATTTTGCTTTATTGATAGAGATTTAAGGTCAAATTTGTTATATGTATATGTATTTCTGATCTTTATTAAGGTATTGTGATTGTGTAGTTCATTATTAAAATGTAATGTATAATTAGGAAATATAGGTTGTTGATGGATAATCATAAATAATAGTCAAGTTTGTAGTCATGTTAGTTAGATTTTCTAGATATATAGAGATATATTTTAGATAGACATTCTTCATGTCTTTCTAAGAATAGGACTTTTCATGACAATGAGACACTCTGCTCCTGGTAGCACCAATCTACTTCAAGAGGAAGATGGGCATCGAAGAGGCTCCTTATGGAGTTTGATAGCCATTTGGGCAAGAAACTGCTCTTGCCTGGACTATTGCATAAACTGGACACAGAGAACCCACAGAAAGAGGACTACTGAACTTGTCTAAGGTGAGATGATCTTTCGGGGTTCCTGATTCATGAAAGAGTCCGCGAGACATTCTGCAGGACACAACAGATAGTGACTGAACTGACTTTGAATTTTCCTGCTTTATGGAAATGTCTGCTAGATAGCATGGGCCTGAAGGCTGAAGATGGATGCCCCAACGGTACAGAGGAACTTTGGGTGACTGTCCAGGCAGCAAGATGTCTCTGTCATTTCTAGAGTTTTGAAGGTTGCTTTTTTCTTGTTTGCTTAGGTAGTATTGTATCTTTCTGGAGTCTTTGATGGAGTTAAGAATAGTTAGTTATAGTTATAGTTTTCCTTAGTTATGATAAAGATTATTGTAACTTTTACTTGATAACTGTTTTGTTATATGTAATTTTGCTATGTTAAAGTTAAAGCCTTTTTTTTTTGTTTAAACCGAAAAAGGGGAAATGATGGAGGAAGGTCATTGGCTAATAAAGGCACTGCCCTGGCCCATTTTATTGGTTAGAGGATAGGTGGGAGAAGAAAACAGGACAGAACACTGGGAGGAAGAGGAAGTGAGGTCAGAGACTCCACAGCTCTCTCGGGAGCAGACGCCTGAGAGAGAGATGCCATGCCCCGCTCCCGGGATGAAGCTCCGACCCAGGATGGACTAGACTAGAATCTCCCCGGTAAGCGCACCTTGGGGTGCCATACACAGATGATTAGAAATGGGTTAAATTAATATGTGAGAATTAGCCTAGAAGAGAATGGGCCAAGCAGTGATTAAAAGAATACAGTTTGTGTGTTGTTATTTCGGAGCATAAGCTAGCCATGTGGGCGGCCGGGTGTGGGGAACGCAGCCCTGCCGCCCCATACTACTACATATGTTCAGTGAACTTAGCTCAGAATCAGAGTCCCATGGAAATGATCACACACACACACACACACACACACACACACACACACCCTCTCTCTCTTGAGACAGGGACTGAAGGCAGGCGGCGGAGCGGGAGGGGGCTGCTCATTATGACTGTGGGTCACTTTTGACCTTCATGCTCTTCTGTTGTCTAAAACTTGTCTCAAATGTTTTCCTTGCCTGTTATTATTTTGCGCGTGTGCCCGTGGCTGCATGTATGTGCACACACACAGGTGCACACACGCCTGCGAAAGCTGGAGGACAACCCTAAGTGTCATTTTTTTTTATCAGCAACACATTGTTTATTTCAAATTAATCTTTTTTAAAATTTATTTATTTCTGTCTCTTCCCCGCCACCACCTCCCAATTCCCTCCCCCTCCCCCATCAAGTCCCCTCCCTCATCTGCTCCAAGAGCAATCAGGGTTCCCTGACCTGTGGGAAGTCCAAGGACCTCCCACCTCCATCCAGGTCTAGTAAGGTGAGCATCCAAACTGCCTAGGCTCCCACAAAGCCAGTACGTGCAGTAGGATCAAAAACCCATTGCCATTGTTCTTGAGTTCTCAGTAGTCCTTATTGTCCGCTATGTTCAGCAAGTCCAGTTTTATCCCATGCTTTTTCAGACCCAGGCCAGCTGGCCTTGGTGAGTTCCCGATAGAACATCCCCATTGTCTCATTTGTTCTATCGGGAACTCACCTAGGTGTCATTCTTTAGGCATGATGCAATTCAAACCAATCAAGACGTGGTCTGGATTGACCTGGAGTTCACAAAGTAAGTTTAGGCTAGTGGGGCAGTGAGCTCCAGATATCTGCCTGTCTTTGCCTCTCTGTGGCTGACATTATATAAGGCTTTTTTTTTAAAGGTTCTGGGCACTGAATTTGGACACTTACACTTGCAAGGCAAGCGCTTGATCAAGTGAGCTATCACCGCAGCCTTTCTTGCATACGTTTCTGATTTGAGGCTAATAGATATCTGTCATACAGTTCATCCTGCTATTAACAGAACAGCAAAGAAAGCTTGTGTGTAGCGTTGACAGGTATTTTGAATTCTTCTGCATGGTCTTCCAATGAAAATTATCCATCTGAGGCCAGAGTGCAGCTGACCAGACTCTCTAGACCTGGATAGAGCCACCTGTTACTGATAGAATCTGACCTGTGACATTAGCCACCTTGGCCTCACGTGCTAAGTCAGCAGTTGGCTTTGGTTTTAATTTAAAATTTGAGGTATATGTTTCTTAAATGTTTTTTTCTGATGGTTATTTATTATGTTGAGAGATAGTAAATATGCACTCATGTGTGTGTGCACGCACACACGCGCGTGTATGACAACTGTCTGGGATTCAGATCCTGCGTTGCACTCAGTGGTTGTACCATCAGGAAGGAGGCAGGTTGACTCTTTTAAAAATGGAAATCTTACCGGAACTTATCTTTCAGACTCCTTGTAAGGGTTAGGTGCTTCTATCTGTGAACAGAAAAGACCCATATCTGGGTGGAGACATTTATGTTTAGATATTGGAAACTTCGAACACATCTTTAGTGGTTGTTTTCTATCCAGTTGGGTAGTTGGGCTTTTATTTTTGCTTATTCACTGATTTGACATTAATAGACAAAGAGGGAAGTGTAATCTTTAGCTGTTAATAGTAGGCACAACGGTCTGATACTTCCCTGGAGGGCCTTAGGCTGTGAGGGCCAATGACGTTGTCATGGTGGCCGAAAGGAAGGTGACTACATCGAATCCATAGTAACTAAGGAGAAAGACAGATACTGGTGTTCAGCTGGCTTCCCATATTCAGTGATCTTTCTTTCTCAGCGGAGTCTCTTTGGAAACCGCTAACAGACACCTGGAAGTGTGTCGCCTAGCTGATTATTTTGTTGTTGTGGTGGTTTTTTCTTTTCCCCCTGAAACAGGGTTTTCCTGTGGAACAGCCCTGACTGTTTTGGAACTTGCTTTGTAGACCAGGCTGGCTCTGAACTCATAGAGATGATCTGCCTGCCTCCACCTCCCAAGTGCTGGGATTAAAGTCATATGCTACCCCTGCCCATGTCCTAGGTGATTCTTAATCCAGTTATATTGACAATGAAGACTGACCTTCATAGATGCATTGGGTAGATTTTTCTGGATTTATAATAAAGGATTCAGCCATATTTAAAGAGAATTGATTATTTGAGGGTTGCATTGATAAAAAGCTCCAGTCCTGAGCCCCAGGTTCAGACTACAGTGACTGACCAGGAGGAGAGAGTTAAGAATACTTTAGAAGGGAAATTCAAGACCAAACCATTTCTAAAAAAAAGCATAAATGGTATAATTCATAGTTTTTTTTAAGTGCATGAAGACTTGATATGTCAAAGGATTCAGTAAGTCAAAGCATTGCCTACTTTAGTGATAGTTATTGAGGGATTGTTGGGGATACACGGTAGATAACGTGTACTACACTCATTGATGAGTGGAGTTCATGACAAAGCCTCAGTAGTGCCACAGGTGGAACCCTGGTGTCCCCAGCATGGAAGGAGTTAGCAAAGGAAGAAACTCATGGGGACTGAGGGTGTGAAGAGCCTGAAGATGACAGACACCAAAGCTTCTGATTTGTTGGCTTAACATTGGAGTCAAACATATCAATCTAGCAACAAATGAATACACAGTCCGCATCCCATACTTACTGGGCATCTAAGGTGGCAAGCAACTAGAGAAGAGACGGTCTGGCATATAGGAACCAGGCTGATGGATAGTTGTAGCTATTGGATGTATTGACAGGCCAAAGAGGGTTGAATGTTGTCACAGCTTCCCAAGGCCAGACTGGGAATCACTCCCTATAGGGGAGAAACTGATTGACACTTGCCAGAGAGAGGCTTGAGATAGGACCTGAGTTTCATGGTAGTGTGTCTCTGAATAGGCTGAAGCAAAGGAATGGCACAACAAGGTTCAGGTGGCCCAGCCTGCTGATCCACTTAGGGAGCCTCCCAGCTCAACAGTTTGGAAGAGCTGTCAGGTATGGGGGTTAATGCTCATCATGCTCATCGTCACAGACCTTTTGGGACTGAGGCAGGAGGATCACAGGCAGTTTCAGGCTAGCCTGGGCTACAGAATAAGATCCTATCTTGAGAAAGGAAGGATGGAAGTAAATTGGAAGGACCGTGTTGGGGACTTCGTGTTTGTAGTGACTAGCTTCCGCGGTACCTTTTCTCTGTAGTTTGGCTGCTGTGTTCATGAGGAAGCTGTGAACTTGCTGTGCAGACATCATCTGCAGCCCAGATCTGTCTGGTAGTGAGAGTGGGGTCACTGATGGGTGTGTCTGTTTGGTTCACAGGTGAGAGAGTAAGGCTGCCTGTCTGGGGGACTGGGTGATGCTGTTTGAATACAGTATTTTTCATTTCTTTCTTTGTTATTATTCTTTTTCTCCAGACTCCATTTTTTTCCCTCTGAGCTTTGTGTGATGGTTGATGTCTTCCATGCACCTTCATCCCCTTCTCTGCCTGAGAACAGTGTGATGGCGTTTCATCTATCAGTACAAAGCCGAATGTTGTCTAAGTAAATCTGCCCTATAGAGTCTGGTGTGTGTGTGTGTGTGTGTGTGTGTGTGTGTGTGTGTGTATCATTGTATGTTTGTACGTGTTTATATATAACACATACACACACAAATGTAGGAGGTATTCAGCGTGGGCTAATAATGAGCTTGCTACAGATGGTGCAACGAACAAGACATTTTTTTTTTGCATAGACACGGAATTGATTTTTTTTTCTTCCCTTCCTGATCTTAGACATAGGATTTCTTTTTAAAATTTTTGAAAAGCAGACAAAGCTGCAACACAAAACCACAAATCCTGTTGACTCCTACCAGTTGTGCTGTGAGCTCCAGAGAGCCTGAAGCTGCGCCTGAGCTCCTGACATAGTGACCTCATTCCCCGATGCTGCCTTTATGGGCAGTGGCAGAGCTGCACTGCTGCTGCCCAGGCAGCAGCTTGACAGGGTGACGAGCCCTGGTTTTGCAGAGACTTGCGCAGTAACTGGAATTCATGGCAAATAGCTCACTGCGGCTGAACTTTGATTCGGTGTGTTATAGAACCGCCCTAAAAATAAACAAACAACAACAACAAAAAAAAATAGGACAATGCAGCAGGTCTTTGATTGCAGTTTGTTGAGTATATGATGCCAGATCAAATTTTATGTGTGTGTTCTTTCTTCAAGCATTTTGGAGGTATGTGCCCTTTTACTTTTGGTGATTAAAAAAAAAATGTGTCGGGGAAACTAATGCATGTGATGGTGTCTGGGTCCCTTGGAGAGGAGCATGTGCTCCTTAGTCCCTCTGCACCTGGGGTCTGTCCTGCCCTCCAAGTCCCCACACTGCACCGCACAGACAAAGGAGCTAACTGACACACACACATGCTGTAGCTTTTCTGGGAGCGATGACTCATTTCAGCTCACAAAGGATTCTGGGCAGGGGAGTGAGAAGTCAGGCTGATTGGTCCCTGCGACTTCACTTTGCAGAGAGGCATCTGAAGAGGAATGGCGCTGCAGATCCCGAGACACCGCAGTGGGATATTGGCTCAGTCCTCAAGGCTGGGATCTGTGGGCTAGGCGTGCTTGCATCAGGATGCAGCCGTTTCATGCAAATAGGACGAAAGGGTGGTAAAGATGATTCGCCCCTCCCCCCGTTTGTAAAACCATTACCAGCAAAGTACACCTACAGAGCCTTTGGTAGGTGCTTTTGATGGAACTTGTCTCTGCCTCACAAGCCCTGATTTGTAAGAAGAACCCAGGATTCTTTAGCCCATTTCAAATATTTATACCTTCCAAGGTAAAGCGTCGGTTTGTTGTTGTGTTCCACAGGCCTGCAGTAACCCAATCTGAAATGCTCATTTAGGATACGATTGCTCGAACGTTTACTCTCTCTTCTTATTACAGATTCTAGGACGTCCATTTCTGTTACTGGCTCCTTCTTGTGCTTGGATGAGTTCCCCTAGCATGCACCAGGCTTTAGCATCAAAGCTACCTGGGGAATGGAGCCAGTCCAGAAAGGGTCAGGTAGGTTTCCCCTGCTTTTATTTCAAAAATTGTTGTATGAAAAAAAATGATATATCTATATATGTTAAAAATGTCCATACCACCTGTGACCTGGGCGAGTGGACCTCTGAGAAGTGGTCTTACTGTTAGTGTGCCCTCCACCTTCATCTCAGGCAGTCCGAACTCTCCCATGGAGGCTGCCCATTGCATGTGACCACACCATCATGGGCCATTGCTGCACTGGGGCCAGACAGTCAGCAGCTGTAGATCCGAGGCTAGGAAGTAACTAGAGTGCTTGGTATTTCCATTCTCTGCATGTCTCTCTCACTCCTCAGAGGGAAAAAGATCCTTGGATTCTTTTTTTCCTCTTCATTTTTTTTTCTGGACAGGGTTTCTCTGTGTAACAGACCTGGCTATCCTGGAACTCACTTGGTAGACCAGGCTGGCCTCAAACTCACTGAGATCCGCCTACTTCTGCCTCCCAAGTGCTGAGATTAAAGGCATGGGCTACCACCACTGCCTGGCTCTTCTGTTTAATATACAGTTCATGAGATGTGTGTGCGTGTTATTTGTCCTGGGACCCCATATATATCACACTCAAGGCTGAAGGAGTCCGATTTACACACTCAGAGACCGCATGCCCCCCAGACAAGGGTAAGGGAGTCCTATTTACACCCTCAGAGCCAGAGGCTTTCTAAGAACAGCATCACATTGAGGCTTCTATGAACTCACAAAGTTGGTGTATTTCATTAGGATCTGATTTAGGATTTTGATTATTACAGGGCTATTATTTTTTTATAACATCCATGAGCTTTTCACACAAAATCTTTTTTAAAAAATGGTGAAAATACTTGCCGGATTGCATTCACCAACACAAAAACGGCATCTGAAAATATGATTATTTTTTTTGCCACCTCCCCAAATGTAGTTTCAATATTCTTCTTTAGTAACGACATGTCTCAGAGTATTAGGTCCTTTATGTAATTTGCATAATTGGAATGTTTTAAAAGAAGTCCAAGTCTCCATTGGCAGGTCCCCTCTTCTCTCTCTGTGGTTGCGTCCATGCGCACAGTTCCCCCTTCCACCAAGGGAGAGAAAGCGTGGTGCCTTTCTTTTCTCATCACTATGGATGCTTTGGTTCCTTATGGTTGAGGATGCCAAGTCCGTCTCAAAGGATGCTTGGTCAGGAGAGCGCTTGCCGAGGAACCCCACAGCCTGCTAGTGCTGCTGATCCTTGGAGCCCGCCTTTAAGACCCCTCTTCCACATAAAGTCTCCCAATGGAGGAAATTGCCGCAACATGAAGTTTGTTCATCCACCCGATCTCCCTTCCTTTGGGTTTCCGTTGTGTGTGGTCATTGTACAGGCGTCATCACACAGGGATATCTTTGTGCAGAAGTTATGGTGCCTCGTGTCTCTGCACCCCTCCACCTCCTTAGCTTCCTTTTTCTCCCCCCTTTCCCTCCTGCTAGTCCCCTGTCCAGTTTCCCTGCTATTTTCATGCCACGTGTAACGTACATGATTTTATGTATCTCTGTAAAATCTAACTACCACAGACAAGAGAAAATATGCTATTTGTCTTTCTGAGATTGATTTCATTGTCTGAATACGATTGTCTCCAGTGACACCCATTTTCCTGCAAATGATGTAACCTCATTCTTTAGGGCTAAAATGTCCGTGTGTGCTTGTGTTTGTGTTTGTGTGAGCTTACACATACACGTTTTGTTTCCATTCCTCTGTTGTTATATACCTGAGTTGGTGTCATAATTTAGCTACTGTGAACAGTGTTGTCAGTGTCTCTGTGATTACTTGAGTCCTTTGGTCCTTTGGATAAATACCCAGGATGGGTAATATCTGAATCATATAACAGTTTTATATTTAATTTTTTGGGGGAACTCTCTCTTTTAAAAATACATATTCTTATCTATAGACGTTGGACTAGCTTACATTCCCACCAGTAGAACAGAGAGTAGCCTTTTGTCCACACCTTTGCCAGCATTTTTAAAATTTGATGATTGCCGTTCTGAATGGGGTGAGATGGAGTATCAATCTAGTTTTAATTTGTATTTCTCCGATGACTCCGTTTATCGGCTGTTTTGTTTCCTCTTTTGAGAACTATCTGTTTCATCATCCCATTTATTGATTAGTTCCTTTAATTTCTTGTTGTTTCAGACTTTGTTGGTTTTGGGTACTGAAGACTGTCATCCTG